GCGTGATGCAGCCCCGGGGCCGGGGGCTCAGTGGAGAGGCCCATGGCGGGAAGGGTGGCCGTGTCACTGCTGCCTGCATGTTTCCTGATTTTTGGGTAAGCGAGTCTCTTCTGACAACACCAATTTGGCAAATTCAGCCTCAACATGTAAAAGTGGATCTTCCTTACTATGGTTTTTGCTGCGGCAGCAGGCTGTGCTGACACCCCGCGGTGCCCATGGCAGGGCTCGGTGGCCAGCCCGGTCCCTTGGGACATCCCCGCTGCGGCGGCGGGTGCTACCCAGCCCCGGCTGTGGCCGGGATCCCGCGGCGCCTTGTAATCGCTATCGCGAGAGTCTAGCGGGAGGCAGGCAGGTTCGCTGTCTGCATGCGTGTGGGAGACTTTTCCTAGAGAGAGAGGGGATGAAGTCTGGGTCTGCTGGACCAATGGACAAGGCTCCCGGTGCTGGCAGGGGCCAGGGTGCCCGATGCTGCTGTGTTTCAAACACCCCTCTGGGATGATGTGCCCAGGTTTTCCCCCAGGTGGTTCGTTATCATGGACCTGCAAGGCCAATAGCGAAGTCCAGTGTGGGGAAATGAAGGCAGAGAAGTTCATGGGCCCAGGTGGGACTCGCGAGGGAGTCAGCACCAGGTCTGGTGCTTGCAAGGCTTTGCTTAACCTCCCGCTCTGTGCTGTCCCCTCTGGGGCTCCACTGTCCCCCCAGCCCATCGCTCGAGCCTCCTCCCAAAGCAAGCTGGGCTTTTCCCAGAGGTCCTGCTGGTGAGGAGGAGGAGGAGGAGGAGGAAGGCTCTGGGCAATACGTTGCTGCTGGGATGCCCCAGAGGCCAGCCGGACTCTGCGGCGCAAAGGCACCCTGGGGATGCAGGACCCCAGCACCGGCCTCAGAGGGACAGGAAGCAAAGTGCCTTTTTTTTTTAAGCCCTTTTCTCAGTGAGCAATCTCTGGGCATTCATTGGTGTTGGCGGATTAACATTTTGCGTGGAGGAAAGGTCGCCAGGTAGGAGGAGCTGCTAAGGTACCCCCACCGCCTCGGCCGAGCTCTGCCCAGCTCCAGGAGGGTGCTTCGGCAGCAGGGATTTGCTGGGATTTGCCTCCCGGGCACAAAGCAGCAGTTACCCCGGGACGGCTGACAGGGAGAGGGTCATGCCGGGGAGCCTGCGGTGTTTGCGCTCCCGCTGGCCCCACGTGCGGGTTTATTGACCCGGGATGTTGAGAAATATCCAAAGGGCAAATTCTCACCCTTTGCGCTTGGGTTACGCCAGCTCCGTAGGTGGCAAGGAAATTTAGGGGCAGTATCGGGGCCGAACAGCCCAAATGCTCACCGAGAGGTGAGCCGGGGCGCGAGGGGCGGTGCGGATGCCGTAATTGCGCTCCTAATTGAGCGTCAGAAGCGAATTACGCTAAACGCACCAAATTAATGGTGCTCCTGGCTCCAGCAAGAGGGGTTTTAAGTGCACATTAGCAGCGGGCTCAGCTCAGCGGGGGTAATCTCGGCAGCACGTGTCACTCCAGTTTTTCCAGCCCTGCTCCGAAAGGAGCCCAAAATGCTATTTCTCCTCTTGTGTCGCAAGGAGATCAGCCCCAAAGTGTTTCTAAGCGCTGGTGGCAGCAACAGCCCTCTCCACGGCTGCAGTTCAGCAGATACCGTTTCATGTAGTGCCATCTAAAGGCAAATATTTGCAGCCAGTTTGGTCAGTGGGAGATGACTTGTGATCTGGGACACATCTGCATTATTCACTGTTGGAAATGGCAGTTACAGCAGAGGTTAAGTGGAGGCAATGGGTTTTCCCCAGTAAAAGAGGACTTCCACCAACTCATGGTCAGAAACTCCCAAATTTCTGCCTTGAGCAATTTCTACCACCCCAAATCCAAACCGGGCTCCTTTTGTGGGTGATATTAATGCAGATATGTTGAAATGACCGTTCCAGTCTGGCGTCTCTGGGCAATGGGTTGGAAATCCCTGTGTTGCACCCGGGCTGGGGGTTCAGAGCAGGAACACGGACGGTAGAGCCCTCGGAAATCCTGGCCCTTGCTGCAAACACCCGAAAGGAGCTGAGCAGACGGAGGCATATGGCCAGCTAATGTTCTCAGCACGCCTCTGCAGAAAGCCGTGAACCAATTTTTAAGACCACGAGCGAAAGCGTGTGGGTTTTATGACCCTTATTAAAATCAGCTTCTAGCTGTAAACTCCTCTCGGCCTTAATTGCTTTTAAAAAGCCCCTTTAGTGCTCGTCTGCATGTTTTGGCATCCGTACAATCTTTAAATGTCTCTTGGGCCCTGTCAGACGATTTCCCTGCCTGGTGTGTTGCACAGGGGCTAAAATAGGATGGGCTGCTCCTACCGCACACGCTTGGGAGTTTGTGTAGTTGAATTTTAAATGAGCCAAGTGATGGGGGAATAAAAAAAATAAAATAGTAGAAGGCAAAACTTTATGTTGCGTGGAACCATCACAGAGGCTGGAGCAGGAGCTTGGCAGGGGAATTTATTCTGCAGCACTAATGTTTTATCCTTTATTGGGAGGAAGCTGCAGGTTTGTTGTAGCTGGCTCACAGTGGGGGTGAAGGGCCTCACTGCACAGGAGGATGGTTAAAGTCAGCATCTCCTTCTCTCCTCTCGGGGGCATCTGAGCTTCAGATTTGTGCTGAACTGCTTTCTGTTACCTCTGGAAGACCTTTGCAGTTAAATAAGCAAATGCAACTAAAAGCTGAAGCAAGTGTGCTGCTTTGGTGACCCTCTCCTTGCTGAATGGGAGCAGTGGAGGGCAGACTGCTCCTGCACCCCTCGTGCAGTGCACCAGGACCAGCCCAGCCCAGTGATGCCTCCTGGACTCCGGGCAGTGAGAGGGGGGATCAGGGGCTCCTTGGTATTCGTGCAAGACCCTTAAAACAGCCACATTTCTCTGGCATTTCCCTGCAGTGAAATGTTTAAATTCCAAATGCAGTCCCCAGCTGCAGCCGATACCCCCGTAGTCCAGCTGTGTGTCTTGCCCTGAGGTCTCTCCTGTCTGGAGGAGGGAGCCCTCATCTATGGTACCTTCAGGCCACCCTTAAGGCACTTGTCATGAGCTGAGCCTGAGGACGGACTTGTGCATCTGCGGGGTACGAGATGCAAACCCACCCTGCGCATGCTGGAAGGGGGATGCTGGAAGGAGAGGCATCAGGGAAGGCAGGAGGTTGACACTGGGGGAGGAGGGTGCTGGCCGGGACAAGGCTGATCTCTCCCAGACCTTTGGCCAGTTTTGGGCCAGCTCCAGGGACTGTGCGGGTGGCCAAACCCTGGCTGGGGCCTTTTCTCCTGCCTCTGGCACTGCACTTGTTTCAAGGCTGAAACCTCACCCTGGAGCAGTAGGAGGTCACTGGCCCTGCCCATGTGGGCCAGGTGGGGCCAGCAGGCCTGGTCCCCTCACACCCAGCACCCACACTCAGCACCCGAACTCCCACTCCTCAAATCCTCCCATCCCTGCATCGCACATCTACACACCATGCATCTCTGATCCAAATATCCCTGCACCCCTACACCCTGCCACTCACATCCCTGTACCAAGTGTCCCAGCATCCCTGCTCCCTGCATCCCGCATCTCCACACCCTGCACCTTGCATGTCTGCGCCCTGCATCCCTGAACCAAACATCTCCGCAGCCCGCATCTCTGCATCGCGCATCCCCACACTCCGCCACCCCCATCCCGCACCCCACATCCCCCCCCACCCCATGTCCCGCCCGGCTGAGGTA